ATACGTGTATACATATATATATGGGTTGTGGTGTGGTGCTGTAGGAAAAGCACTCGACTGCAAGATTCAAACTCACCAGCTGCTCCCTGGAAACCCTAGCAGAAGTTTTAAAAAGTGTGAACTATCAAAAAAGAACTGTCTGGCAATTAAAACACAGGGGTCTACACAGTTCCCACTTTATTTTGGCTACAGGGACTGCAAAAAATCCAGGGGTCATCCTAACTGCACACGATTTGGGTGATTCAAACAGAAAATTAGTTGTGCATTTGGTGAATGACCAGGGAAGAAGTAGCACTTTGTTTTTTTTATCATGTTAAGTGTGCTGAGGTCAATTTGTATCAATTTAGCAATGTAAAAAAAAGTTAACACTATTACATGAAGATACTTATCAAATGATGTAACAGAGAGTGTAAGATGTACAGAGGACAATGACCTTTCATCATGGGTAATCCTGGTAGTGTAGTGGTTACGATTCAGGTTGCTAACCTCAGGGTCAACAGTTCAAAACTACCAGCTGTTCTGCAGGAGAAAGATGAGGCTTTCTGCTCCTGCAAAGATTTGCAGCCTCAGAAACCCTCTACAGGGTCGCTATGAGTCGGAACCGACTCCACGGCACATAACAACAACAACAACAACAACAATCAAATAAATAAAATGAAGGAAGAAAACACTGATTTTCAAATACTAAAAAGTATTCCCAAAAAATGCATATAAATGTAAGGTGGGTTTAAACTAAACTTCCACATTCTTTAGGACTCCCTGGCTAGTGCAAAGAGTTAATGCTTTCAGCTGCTAACCAAAAGGTTGGAGGTTTCACAGTCCAACCAGAAGGACCTCAGAAGAAAGGCCTAGAGATTTATTTCTGAAATACCAGCTAAAACCCCATGGAGCACAGGCTTCTGACAGCACGTAGATCAGCAAGAGTTGGAATCAACTCTACGGCAACTGGTTATTGGAGCCGTCTCAAAGTGTGCTGTGTTTGTGATTTCAGAACAATAGAGGGCTTTGACAGGTTCACTTGTGACACCTTTGGCGCTGTAGGATAAACAAAAGACTACTAATTGAAAAGTTGGCGGTTCAAACACACCAGCTGCTCCTTGGAAATCCTATATAGGGTCACTATGAGTCGGAATCAACTCAGTGGCACATTAACAACATTATTTTTTTTTAATATATTCAATTAAGATTTTTTTCTACTACGAGAATTCTCAAGAATCTAAGTCCCACTTGCTAGTTGAGAAAAGAAACATGAGCATCCATCCCACCAAGCGCCGCATTTCAGATGCGAAAACAAAACCCAGGGCTCCCAGCAGGTATTCGACTCAGAGTCCAGAGCAAAGTCACTGTTGTGAAGCCACTTCTGACTCACAGTGACCCTACAGGACAGAGAGGTGCCCCCGAAGTTCTCACAGTGACCCTACAGGACAGAGGAGAGGTGCCCCCAAGGATCTCACAGTGACCCTACAGGACAGAGGAGAGGTGCCCCCGAGGGTCTCACAGTGACCCTACAGGACAGAGGAGAGTTGCCCCCGAGGGTCTCACAGTGACCCTACAGGACAGAGGAGAAGTGCCCCTGAGGGTCTCACAGTGACCCTACAGGACAGAG